GCGGCGCCGCAGGTAGTTCATGGCTGCGGCGCGGGTCAGGGGGTCCTAGGAGCAGTCGTCAAGAGCCGCGGGGGCGGACCGCGCAGGGCCCAGGAGCACAGCTGCGCTCTCAGGCACGATGCGACTCTTCTGCTGCCCGCTGCAGACTGAGGCAGCGCTGAGTCGCCACCGCCGCAGCGCGGTTGGTCGCGCCCGTGCCCCCCTATCTCTCGCCTCGCGTGGTGCAGTCCGGCTGGGCTGGCGGCAGCGCGGACGCGACCAAGGCTACCGGGAAGGGGAGTTTGAGGAGGAATGGCGAGTGACGTCAGCGCGCCTTCAGGGCTGGGGCGGTGGTGGCGCGCGCCGGCAGGCGGGGGCGAAGGCGCTGTCCGCGGTGCTGAAGGGGGCAGTGCGCACGCGCCACGCCGCATCCTGTTCCCTTCCCCCCCTCAGATTGGGGATGCGCAATTTGGGGAGTGGGGGCGGGGTNNGGTTGGATTGAGTGGTCAGGCAAACTCCCCACCTCGCCCCATTCTGGTCTTCACACCCAGTCTCACCCACATGCAGGACTCTTCGCAGATACTCAATTTCCAGTGTTGATATTTACCACAGAAGGCATGTGGGGGTGGGAATGGAGGCACACCCGGAGACGCAAAAGTAGAGAAATAATGCCCCTCAGGGCGAGGGGTGGGGGTCACACGCAGTACCCCGCGGGGAGATCAGTTTCCCACACACACACAGGCTCAGCTAGGCAGAGAGGTGCTGGGGAGGCCTAGACAGTATTAGACAGGTGGAGGTGGACACTTGAGCAGGGTACACACCCTTCCCGGGAGGGGGTACTGGAGGCACACACACAGGGAATGACACATACTTGGAAATACATATATACATACACAACAGGAAACAGTAATATATAGAGAGCACACACACTAATGTAGGTATCTATACACACATGCAAGCCCAGGGTAACACACATGGGCATGCATGCTTACATGCATACATGCATACACTTACACATGCACATAGGCACCACACCAACACACAGGGAATTAGGGAAACTCACATGAGTATGCACAACCAGACAAAACACATACCTACAGACAATGATGGACAGACCTAGATCAGTCACACACATTCCCTGAACTCTATCCCTGATGTGTGTCCATCTATCCCCATCTACACACACACTGGGTCTGTACACCCCTCGATCATCTGTCCTGGACACAGCCAAAACCCACAATAATCACCTGGTATCATCAGTGCCCATGGCTGTCTCCCTCTGCACCACAGAACTTTCCACAGAGGTGGACTCATCCTAAGACATATACATAGTAGGTGCCAAATGGTTGCCACATGAGCAAATGACCTTTAGAGTCTGGACAGAGGTGGGCTGTGAAAGCCATTCTGTCAGCTCCTATTAAGATCTTGACTACAATGAAAGCACAAATCCATTTAAAAATAATCATTTGTTGACTCACTGTACCCAATGCTTAACTGAGCTGTTTACATGTATTGTCTTATCCAACCCTCACAACAATCCTATGGGATGGTTAATATCATTTCCATTTTACAGATGAAGAAACCCAAGAATTCCAATTCACTCCTAAAGGGCCATGTTCACTATGTGATCCATACTTTTTCTTTTTCTTTTAAGAACGCTCCGGAAAGAGGTGGCAGTGTGGCTGGAACAAATTGATGGAGGGGGATTGTGGCAGGAGATAGGGTCAGAGAGGTTAGCAGACACCAGATGGGTAGGGCTTTGTGGGCCATAGTGAGTGATGATGGTAGACCAAGTGAGGTAGAAGATATGGCAAGAAGTAGGCAGATGTAGCCTGGTTAGTGTGGCTCAGTGGTTGAGCATCAACCCATGAACCAGGTCACGGTTTGATTCCCAGTCAGGGCCAGTAGGGGGCATGCAGGAGGCAGCCGATCAATGACTCTCATCATTGATGTTTTTCTCTCTCCCCCTCTCCCTTCCTCTCTCTGAAATCAATAAAAGGAAAAAGAAAAAAAAAGTAGGCAGATGTGGAGTCTCTTCTGCCTGCAGGATTTTCAGGTGAATCATCCACTTATTCATGTGTCCATTCTTTATTCATTGGCCTGTTTAAACAATGTAGTAATGGTGTGGACTCTGGAGTCAGAATTCCTACCCTCAAACTTAAAATGATCTTCACTCTCGTCTAAGGGAGGGGGGTGGGGAAGAGACAACCTCCACTTTTGCATATTCTATGACTTCTGCTAGGAATATCCACCCTGCTTCAAGGATCATCCTTAACCAAAGTCTTCAGGAAGTCCCCTCGTCTAGGACTCGGAATCCGTCTCTCCCCCTAGGCTCCCACAGTCCTCAAGCCAAATATTTCCAAACTGTCCCCTACTTCCTCCTCCATTCAAGCCAGCTTGTCTTACCTCTAGGCTGTTGCTTTGGCCATTCCTTGCCCCGCCCCTAGATGCCTTCTCTGCCGTTTCAGTTCTGCTTTCCCCACATTGGGGGACTCCCCAAGGATTGGGTATTCCCCAACATTTCAAAGTATGTGTTCCCCAGTTTTTTGCTCAATAACGGAAGCAAACAAATTATGCTGGGCATATGGTGCCCTCTCTGGGGGAAAAAAGCAGCTGCAGGTCTACAGACCTTTTTGGCTCCTTAGGAATCTGTCATCAGACTGCCTCTTCCCAGGGGCCCCATTTCCAGGTTCCTAGTACTTGTGGACCCCAGTATCATTCCATTTCTCCAGGTGGTTTAATTTCCAGAAGTTAATTTTTTTGTAGATTTTTTTTTGCAGAAGAATGAGGATTTCCCCAGGAGTGTCTCAACTCCTTGAGGCAGAGGTAAGGCTCCTCTGTACTGTCTCCATCTTCTCCAGCAGGAATTTAAAAGGGGCTCTAAGAATGCTTTTCTTTGTTGTGTGTACCTGTTTCTAACTCACACACACATCCATGTTGCCCTAATGTGTATGCACACACACACCCCTATAACATTGTTATGGCGCACACACAGTTGTAACTTCACATTCACTGCACATACACTCAATACAGCCTGAATTTTTGCACAGACCCATAGGTCTGTGTATCACACATACAAAAAGATATGTGCCTCACACTGCATACACACAAACTTCCTTTTCTTAGAAATACATACATACCTCTCTCATACCCTGTATTAGCAATCAACACCCCTCACTTCAGCTTATTTCTCCCAAGATGACCATTTATCAACTTTGTCTTCATCTCAACCCATCAACTGGCCCATTTTACACAAGAGGAGATGAACCCAGAGAACTAAGTATCCTGACAGACTCTGGGTGTCACAAATCTTCCATCCGAACCCTCCCACAGAGGTGTCCTTCCATTCACAGCACTAAGTTCTAAACTCTGCTCCTCACATGGTGTTTCTGAAATGTTCAACCCATTACCTTTCATATACATTTCCTCCTTGGTAAATGGGGACAATACTGACACTCATAGGTTCATTGTAGATTAAATGAATTCATGCTATGGAGGCTTAAAATACTACCAGGCACACAGTAGTTACTCTCTTCAGTATTAGCTATTACTATAATTATGATTCTTATGTTTTGTCTCATTGCAAGAGGCTTAGCATTCCTAAGTGCTAAATGAGTGGGCATTAGTATCTGGGTTTGTTCCCTTCACTGTGGAGACAAGTACCACTCTGACTCTTCTTTCCTATACCCCACGGTGTCCAGGACTATTGTTAGTACACAGTAGGTGTTGATAAGTGTTGAATAAATGTTCAAAGGAAAGGATCACCTACTCTGAGTCAGTTCCCTTGCTCAGATGTCTCCTTCTACCCAGCCCTTCTCCGCTCCAGATGCCCAGACTTAGTTCTAGTATACAGTAGATGCTAATAAGTGTTGAATGATTGAACAGATGCTAACAGGAATCTGTCTCTGGGTTGGGCTCCTCCTGGAAGATGCTGAATCTAGCTTCTTTGCCCCCCGCCCC